TAAGTTAGAGGTGCCAGGCATTGGATACATTTCCTGACAAATAAGTGCTGAAAAATAAGTGAAACTTTCAAAGCGCTTGCGTTTGAGCAGCCAAGGGACAGTATGAAAATGATTGGAGTGGGAAGGGAGGTTAAAACTTATATATTAGACCCTCTGCAGCAGTATTAATATTTTATGTTGACCATAACCTTGCAACAATTTCTCCCTAAAGGGTAACTTTGGTATTTTGAGCCTGGACCCTATTTTCCCATGTTGGCAGCAGCAATGTGTGGGCAACTGCACCACGTCAAAGTATGTCCACTAAAGTACTTGTTTTTGCCACTGACAGGTGTGACGAGTGTCTGAAAATATTATGAAAATGATTCCTACAGAGACGGACCTTTTTAAAAAAAAAAAAAAAAAAAGAGTGAGGTCCTTTTGTTTAACCAGAAACAGTCCCTATACTGCTCTCATCAAAGCCACCAGACTCCATTGATAAAAACTGTAATTTTACCTCTGATCTATCGCTGCCTTGATTAGATAGTTTGTGTTATTGTGTGACTTTGGTGTTTTTAACCCTTTAAAACACAAAAGTCACACAATAACACAAACAAACCATCCGACCGAGGCAGCAGTTAGACCAGCAACTCCCATGTTCTAGCAGGTAGAATTACTGTTTTTATTAATGAAGTGTTCATGAAGATCAAATAAAGTGACATGCAAAAGCAAGTAAAAAAATAAAAAGACCCAAAAAAGTCAGACGACCATCCACTCAAAAAGTCCCCCTTTTCTTACCTCCCCTCCTCTGTAATATACATTTAAAGCAACTATCTCCTCTCAAGATCACATTTACTCTGTTGACCATGTATAATAAGTGTAAAGGGGTTTATCTTGCATCAGTGCAGAAACAAACAAAATGTACAGTGGAAAGCAAGAACAGAGTCTAGCATTTGATACATGTCACTGTGAAAATATATAGTCTTAAAACAAAACAAAGTAAAGTACTTTTTTCTACAAAACTGTTGTGCTGTGAAAGATTAATTCTCAAAGCAGTACTAACAGATCAAGTCGGCTAACATCTCCAAATCATCCCCTCTTCTTCTGCAGTCCTTCACAACCGGCTGCTTTTGAATTCTAAGAAATCCCCTTTTTTCCTCTTGGCATTTCCTTGACCCCTCTGAAGGTTTTGCACCGTTACATCCTGCTGTGATTGAGGTCTGAGAGGGCTTACAGCGATCAATGCTGAAGGATTAGCAAGAAAGCATCCAACCCTTGAAGCCATTAATAACGCACTCTGTTTGACTTCACCCAATGGGTTGTTTACATCTGGACTTGTAGGTTCAGCACGACTGCAGCTTATGTAACAGGACATTAAATAACATTTTGTACTATATTATATTACAATTATAAAAATTGAATAGTCTCTGATTTTGTTATTCCTATCTCTAAATTGAATTGGAATTTAGCTTGGAAGTAGCTTATCTTGTATGTATATACTTATTGTATGCATTGCATTTGCATCAGATGATATTGTATCTCATTATAAGATAACAATTAACAAATAAAAAACAACAAGCAATAGTATAAAAGCAAATCAAAAAAAAGTACAGCATAAATAAAAACAACTGATTCAGAAAATGCAGTAAAATAAGGAAAACCTTAAATCAGTGAAGAAAAAAAAAATCTTTCTCACTAATCAAACTGGTCATATAATCTTCAAACAGGTTTCCTACATTATGTTATAAGAATACACTACCACACATGCTTCTTTGTCACTTTCACACAAAGGCTCTGCGACAACAGGCTTATCATGGCCACGGATTAGCTACCAAGACAGCTCATTGCTGAAAAACCTCAAGAGAGTCCTGTGGAGGAGGATAAAATGGGACGTGACCCCTTCTGAAAAAAATTAAATGTACCGAGATATTTAGTTGACATAATAGGAACTGCACCCACACACATAAATTCAGGGATTCTGAAGACACAAATGGAGGTCAGCTTGGGTCACTTGACAATCATAGAAACAGATAAGAATGCATTATTGTATATTTGAGCGTTTGTGTGTGTTTATTTCTGACATCTGGGTTGATTCTTGCAATAAATAGTCATTTCTAACAGTTCAAAACAGCCAGCTTCCTTGGAAATGAACAGTTTCCACCTCAAAGTAAACAACCTCTAAGATAAGAAGATAAGATAAGAAAAACTTTATTGTCTGTCACAAGTGACAGAAATTTGTCTTTGACAAGACAGGCTCAAAAGACATAAAAAACATATATAAAATATAGATACACTGAAGACAACTTAGCCACATTATTTGTACAGACGTGCAGAATACCAAAATGTGATATGTTCTATATGTGATTGTTCAATATAGTAATGGCTGTGGGAATTAAGGATTTTTTATATATGTTTTTCCTTGCAAGTGGGACTCTGTAACGTCGACCTGATAGACATTACCTGAAAGGATTGGTTAAGTGGGTGGGTGGGATCCTGTGTGATTGTAGTGGCTTTCCTCAATACTGACCGAGTTCTGTTAAGGGAGTTTGAGGGGAGCCTGTTACCTTACTAGCTTGATTTATTATTCGTGCAAGTTTGATTTTATGCTTAACAGTAAGGGCATTATACCAGGCTGTAATATTAAAAGTGAGTATGGATTCAATGAGTGACTTGCTCACACTAAAATCTCTAAGTGTCCTCAGCAGGTGTAAACGCTGCTGGGCTTTCTTATACACAGTTTCTGCATGCTGTGAAAAAGATATTTAAAAACTGGTTTATTATATTTAACTACTGGTTTTTACTCTTATTAACTTCTTATCTCACAATTTGAAAGCTAATCTACATGTAAAGTGATCCCTCCTTCACATTCACACACACATTCACACAGCTTGGATGCAGAATCTTCTATAAACATCTATTAAGTGTGTTTTGATTATTAATATTAAGCTGGCTGTCTCAACCAGAGAAAGCACTGATGGATATGCATTCGATTTAGGAGCGATTACATTTTTTTTGTGGCACATTATATGTTTCAATCATGATGTCTCTAACTGTTTATTTTGCCTATCATATGTCTTTTCTATTTCCAAGTTTCCCTCTATTACTTTTCTACCAGCAACGAAGCACGAGCACGGAAAGTCATTTCCTCTATTCCCCAACACAGTAGTTGATGCCTCACACTGCATTTGCTGGTGTCTGCTCTTGGGTTCACAGCGGTGTGTGGCGCACTTTTTTGTAGAGCTGCTCATACCCTGATGGTTTTGCAGATCTTCCTCTGCTGGTGCAGTAATCTTCCTCCAGCAGCACGGCCCCTCACGCGAGCCACGCTGCGATCTGCCACAGAGCGAGTGTGTCTACTTACCACATCATTGTGTCCGTCATGCAACTCGGCGGGTTTGCAGCGTAAGCGCTTAGCTGTGGCTTCAGTAGATAACTGTTATCCCCTAAGTGAAATCTGCTGCATTCTTAGTTCAAGTACAAACCTGTGTGTGGCTGCCTAAAGTAGCCAACAAAGTAGCCAGATGTTACCCATCATGCACCTTGCAGGGTTATCCACCTAAATATATTTTCTCACTTACCACCAGTGGCATCCAGCCATGCAAGTGTTTTTTGTGAATTCTGCCTTTGCTCCAGAACATTTTCAGTGAATGCAAGTTTGTGGTGTTCACAATGTTAACAAACTACTACCAAAGAAAGAGTCCCAGTGAAAACTGTTGACAATGAGATCTGTTCATCATTCAGATGTACTGGGACACAACTTATGGAAAGAGATATGACTGCAGAGTTCTTTCAGTGTAATTCCTCACTGCTGGCGCCACATTCTCTAAACCCAGTTCACTAAAACCTGAATTTTCTGCATGAGTTGATGCTACTTCTTTTTGCAATTTGGGGCGAACCAGCACTTTTAAAGTCTCCTCTACGCGCTGTTTGAGTCATGACTCAACCCAAATCACCACACAGTCTCATTTGTCAGAACCATTTAGGCATTCATAGAGGTAAAATGTTTACAATGAATGCAAACAAATACATCTTCCCGGGCAGGGTGTGTGCAGTCCATTGCAACGGCCACATTAAGGGAGCTGCCACTGCTCCAAATTGCGTTTTTATGTCTGCCTGGTCACTAGCTGTGCAAGGCAGAATGATGTATCTTACACTTAAATTAATTATACCAGCCCACACTGTGCGCATGACACAGCTCACAGAGGGCCGAGATGTCTCGTTGCCAGGCGTTTGAGAGCTATGAAAACCCAGAGTCGCTTTTCTCCTCGGTGTCTGCCGTTCTGAAACAGAGGCCAGGTCAGCGAAACACTTTCAACAGAAAAGCTCTTTGAAATCAGAAGCGGCACATTAGTCAGTGTTATTATCATCAGTTCAGCCTCAAAAGGCTTGCTCTCACCTCAGTCTTATCAGTCAATCCTCTAACAGCACCAAAGCAACTATTATAACATTATGAACATCCATTACACACTGATGGGCTATATATATATATATATATATATATATATATATATATATATATAGACTCTAACTCTAATAGCATTTCGATTCATGGCAGGTGTAGCTCTCATTTCCTGTCTAACGTGTGTTATTCCACTGCTAATTTACTCTCATGATAATAAAAAAGATTGGTGGATAATGAAGTCACGTGATGTTTAAAAACCACCAAATGTGTTTGGGGTTGGTCATTAGGAAATGATTTACCATTTTCCAGCCATTATTCACAGACTATTACACTTACATGACTACTGCGTATAGTTATAGTAAGTAATTTAACCGTAAAATTAAGTAGAAAACAGGTGGGTTTTTCTTCCATGATTCATGGTTATCAAATCACTGGATATAACACCAAACACCTTTAATTTGGAGAAACTGTTACCTTGATATAATCTGATCATTTTTAGCGGATTACCATATTGTTACCTCATTGTTGTAATGCCATTACTGATATGTTTTACTCCATATATATCTGGATATTTAATAATAATAAAAATGAAAGACATGGATTCCTTTTACTCTCTCTTTAGGTGTGTCGATGCCTATCCCAGTTATCGGCCTCCACAACAAGGACAAGGTCTTCGTCAACGACAGCTGTGTCCTCAACGAGGAACGCTTCGTGCTCATTGGCTCCTTCGTGGCCTTCTTCATCCCGCTGGTCATCATGGTGGTGACATACTGCCTCACCATACAGGTAGTGGTGTCTGTGTGTGCCTTCCAAACACTGTACGTCCACGCTTTACTTTTCTTTTTCTTTTCTGCACTCACAATCCTCCCTACTTCTTCTTCTTCTTCTTCTTTCTCTTCATTCTCTGTACTCCCTCTCCATGCAGGTGCTCCAGAGGCAGGCCACTGTCTTCCTGTACGAGGCAAAGACTTCCTCCAAGCAGCCTTTGCACACACCAGCAATGACAAATACATTGCAACTTCCTCAGATCACACTTGCCCCTTCAGACTCACAAGGTACAAACCGATCAGGCTTTTAGCAGCTGAGATCTGGTTTATTTACACCCATACAAGTACATGTAATCAATGAATTAATAGGAAATATGTGAACCATAAATCATCGGCAATGCCCATATTTTATTATTGTGAAATTAAGAGTGAAAACAACTGTTGATGGTAGTTTTTATAACCCTTCTGATGTGCCTTATGTTGGTATTTTATCTTTCTGGAGATTTTAGTCACTTCACAAGAGCACAAAACAGACTGATTGCTTTGCTGTTTGTGTTTGCGACTCTTTAGTTGAGTAAATCCTGCTGTGTTGTTATTTTTCTGGGTCCAGGTCACATTTGGTTTTGGTATGAAATGAAGACTATAACACTTGAATAAAAAGACTGAATAAAAGAATGTAAATGCAAAAGGCAATATAAGGTGCTAATTTAGCTAAAACATTGTGCCTTCTCCTAATCATAGCTTAGCAACCTTCAGGCTACGAGCTCTGAATTTCTCCACATATTGAACTTCCTGTGCCAAAATTAAAGGAACGGATTACAGTGATTTCATCTGCTCTAATGTAAGCTTCAACCGTTAGCATATCCAGCTAACTAGCTTACTACCCTACAATACCCTTGGAAGAGCATTTCTTCACTGTAAGGCTAACTAGGTTACATTAGTTTGTGGGGTTAGGTTAAGTAAAGATAAAAAAAAACAAAAAAAAAAACCTGTTCAGTAGTAGCATACTTCCCCCATGTGGAAACCAGTCCTGAATGCTACAAACAAGCAGGCTAATGTTAGAAGTTCTGCTCTTTTTTAGATTTGTGTAAGTTTACACTCCAACAACCACATGCCAACATTACCAAGATCCCATTACATTTGCCAGAAACATTGGTTAGTTCTCATCCAGAAGCATTTTCTCTTGTATCGTTAAAAGTGAAAACACACAGTTTGAAAGTATGAACCAGTATGTGAGCTACCTTAAGCAGCCCAACAGCACAGGGTTACGTCAGAACAAAATAACCGTCTGATGTTACATTTTTCCCTGTCATATTCATAATAGGACTACTGTAACTCTACACCATAACACAAGAAAAATGCTTCTGTTTTTTCCATGTATTTTACATAGACCTACTGACACTTTGAATGGGATATTTAGCTTTAGCCTTTTAGCACAACACCATGTATGTAACCATCCGAGGCATATTTAATACCCCTATTACATAACTAAAAGCAGAAAATATATCACCTAATCCACCAGCAGTATATTATTGTTGTGGTGCTTAGTTATCTGTCCGATCAGCTTGGGCAGCACGTAGACGGCTGGTTCCTGAATGCAAGTCGAGCCCTAGCTTTTCCAGTGAAGATGAAATTGCTTGATGTGGCTTTACCTGTTTTCCACCTTATCCTCTGGCATTCGAAACAGCAAAAAGTGTGAATCAAACATTCACGTCATGTTTAACCTTTTCATATGGCCTCTTACAAAATGTCAGCAGCCTTGTTAATACAAAAATATACTGAATGATTTCACTGGTTGTTGCCCGGGGTTAAATCTGCAGCAGTTTTCTTGTTAACTAAGTTGGAAGGAGTCATGGTGATAACAGACAAATCCCATCCTTCACTGTTCCGCCTTACAGCTGACAAATTTTTGACAAAAGCAAATGTGTGCGTGTTTTTTTTACTGTGGAGTTGCATTTCTTTAACCATAAACCTTTTTTGCTTTTAAAGATCCTTGATGTTTCTTTTGCCCCTCCCGCAGAGTTAAAGCCCACGCCTCCTCAGAGCAGACGAAACACCTTGAGCTGTCTGAAAGGAGCAGAGCCCAGCATACTGCTCAAGACGCCAGACAGCATAAGTATCATTCCCAGCTCTGAGGTGGCGTCTCAGCTCAGCTCGCCAGCTGCGGGGCAAACGCGGAGCGACACATCGGGTTGCCATGGCCGACGGGGGATGATGCAGGCCATAAAAAATGAGAGGCGGGCCTCCAAGGTGAGAATATAGAGTGGGGTGAGTGTTATTCAGGTGCACTTGTTTCAGGGCACCCAGATACATAATGTAACAGCTGGGAGATGAACAAATAAATACGCTGAGAGGTCACTATTGCTGCCAACTAGGCTTGGGCCGATAGACGATACCATCATCCATCGGCAATGGCTGACAAACATCACGACGTTGAGCAGGCATTATGATTATTAAACCCCACCCCACTGGCAATAAAATAAATCAAAATTTTTCACATTATACTGCCATGTGAAAGCAGGTTTTAATCACCACAAACATTATTATTAGAAATTTTAAATATGCTTTGCATCTTCCTCGGAATTCTCTTCTCCACACACTCAGACACACAAGACGCGTACACCTCAGGTAAACACACCAGCTTGCCCCGCCTCTCTCTGTCCCCAAGATTTTATTTCAAGATCAGTCAAGACCACAACTGTGGGAATATCAATAAATTGCCTGTCCGTTGTCCGATTTATTTGTTGACATCCTAACTTTGATTGGATGTTAACCTTACTGCTTCAAATGCAGCCCATAATGTGACTCACTCCTAATTTAAATTAGCAAACAAACAAACAGAGTCAAACAGACATGCCTAATGCTTGCACAAACATGGAAAAGGGGTGTTGAATAAAGATTGTTAAGTTGATTTCAGCTCTTATGTGGGTGTTTTTATGAGAATGAGGTCAATTTGAGAAGTGCCTATGATCATATTCCACATTTTGTTGTGTGTCATGTAGTGTTGGGCACTGGCCTTGGTCTTGACTTGGTCTCGCCCTCCATCTGTCTTTGTCTTGACGTGGTCTCACCCCTTAAAGTCTTGGTCTTGTCTCAGTCTCGTTAAACTCTGGTCTTGGTAATGACTTGGTCTCAGTTTGGGTGGTTTTGACTACAAGACTATGTCATAGTATTGGTATCAAAACATTTCAAACTTTACTCAGACTTTCTTAGAGGAGGTGCAAAGATGAGCAAAATCTTTATTAAAATGCTTTATTAATCCAAGAAACAGACTGGATGGTGTGTAGTGAGTTACAATAGTCAAGGCTTGGATATAAGCACGGACAAGTTTTCCAGATCTGTGGCTGAAATAAAAGATTTTAACCATGGCTATATTTCTCAAATGACTTGATATGGTTAGCATGTAAGCAAACAGTTGCCTATTAACACATTAAGCATACAGGAGCAACATTAACTTAACATTTGTGTTTCTAGTCACTTGATGAATTTGGGTCTTTAGCTACCAGATGCTACAATATGTTCACCAGCTAGTCGCGCCAAAACAATGTGCTACAAGTTACTAAAACGCTCTGTTGACCTGAGGGGAACTGCGGAGTTGGGTGAAAATTATATAAATGCTTTGTTTGGAGAGTCATTATCACTACATGTACTTCATGTGTGCTTGAAGACCAAGAAACCCGCTTTCTTCCGAGTAACTCACCGTTGCTTTCCACACAGAGCATTGCAAATGTCTCCTCTGAAATGTTTAGAAGAGCTCACGTTATCAAATCCAGCCAGACACTTTGAGCAACGTCAAACAGCTTGAAGCTTTGCAGTACTCACAGAGAGTGCAGCGGTGGTGTGAATTCAAATTCATGTTGGATCAAGGCATTCATTTGCCTATATCAGACATTAAAATCTCATTAGAAGTGGTACTCTAACAACGATATTAAAAAACATCAGTATGTGTGTATGATGCATGTATTTCAGTTCATTCAGTTCAGTTCAGTTATCCACTTGACAAAAGACATTTTTCTTAAATTTTCCTGAATGGAAAACATTACATCCCCGCCACCCTGTACGCAGGATAAGTGGTTGACGATGGATGGATGGATGGAAAAGAGTACATGTTTATTCTCATTATTATTACCTCTTAACTTTAAAAGTGCTGTTTTCAGTAAAAGAAATTAGGGTTTTTTTGTTATAGGATTTCAAACCTATGCCACTATTTAGTTATAATTTCTTCTCTTGTTTTTTCTTTCTTATTTTGTTCTTTTCTTTCTGACTTCTGTCTGCCATTCATTTTCTTCTTTTATGTTTATTTCCGTTTTTCCCTTCTTCTTACTTCCTCCTTTCTTGTTGTTTTCTTTCTCCTCTTCTGTTCCTCCTGCCTCTTTTTACTTTGGTTCTCTCTTCTTGCTATCTTCAGGTCCTGGGAATTGTCTTTTTCCTCTTCCTCATCATGTGGTGTCCCTTCTTCATCACCAATGTCACTTTCGTCCTGTGCCGGGGCTCCTGCAATGCGCCGCTGCTTCATGACCTCCTCAACGTCTTTGTCTGGGTGGGCTACATCTCCTCCGGAGTCAACCCTCTGGTTTACACCCTCTTCAATAAGACCTACAGGAGAGCATTCTCCAACTACATAAGGTGCCAGTACAATATGGGGGCCAACGCAGCTGGACAGAGTTGCAAAACACTCCTCGTCCCCCCGCCGTGTCCGTCACACAGTGTGACCCCACTTCTGATGGGCAGTCATGGGAAAGCAGGCATGGACCGCAATAGTAACTGTCGCAACGGTGGTAGGGGCGATAACGGTAGGCTGACGGTGGACCCAGATGACATGACAGATGACGAGACACAAATTGGAATAGTGTCGCAGAGCCTCTCCGAATGCCACAACATTGGTATGCCTTCAGAAATGGAGCCGGAAACTGAGGTGGAGCGGGAGCTGTCACTCATCAGCTACAGCCCCGCCTCCAGAGAACACACAAGCAGCGTGTGATTACATGCTTTTTGTTGTTTTATGTCTTCTTTTCAACCTGCAGACGCTGGGCCGAGCAGCGTTTCAGTGAGCTGGTGCTGGGAGCCTACAGCATTTTGATTGCTGTAAGTGGGTACTGCTATTGTGAAAGGACTAGTCTTGTTTGAGGAGCTTTATCCCCACACTGAAGTGCACTACTTACAATAATGAAAATAATGTTAGTGAAATCAGATTATGAGAGAAGGTAGCCTCTAAGATGACTGAGTGAGTGTGGTTTTCCACCACGGTTTTGGAGTGAAAGCCAATATTTCAGACGTGTTTGTTTTCTAATCGGTGTCAAAATGTTGGTTTTCAGACCTCACATGGAGAATAAAAGCATTTGTTAAGGTGTTGCTGTCACACAATGTGGTGTACTTTATGGGGAAGACGGTACCAGCTGAAATCCAGACAGGGACAAAGCCCACATGATAAGGGACACTCAGTGAAGAGCTTATTCTCATTGTTAACCTGGTAGGGAGTCAAGAGGCGCCCGATGGAGTCCCACTGATGCAGGTTCCAGAGTCAAGCACCAACCGCTGAGGTCAACGGAGTCAAACTAGGACTTCAAGCCTTCACACAGTCAAAATGCAGTCTGAGCTCTGGTTTATGTGGATTCTCTCCACACCAAGCAAACTAAACCAAATCTATTTTTGTGCCGGTCAAGCTTGACGACAACAGTCATAGAATATATCTGAATGAACCTTTCCAGCATGTATAATCAAACTATTCAGCCGACAAAAATGGGATTTTTCGCTAAAGGAAACTTTCTCAAGGCTGCAGTCAAAAGTTTGTCTGAGAGGACCGAGATGAAGGAATGTGCAGGGACCACTGGTCTCTGGTGGACTCACAGTGCCATCTGGTGGTCGAATGACACAGAGATGTTTCCCACGGATTGAATAAGGGGCTAATAGAGCTCAAAACATGGCGCAGGTCCAACACAACTGTCAGGCTATTGCTTCTGTTGACCAATGCAACCACTTATGAAAGAATTTAATTCCCAACTTCTAAAGGTTTTCTCTTTTTTTTTACTGATAACAATCAATAAAGTTTAAAATAAAAGTGAGTAATCTAAAAGTAATAAAGAAAAATATAGTATGAAGTTTTTAATATAAGGGTGCACAAACTTAACGTAAGATGTCATTCTTAAATCAGCCACAGCTTGCTATCATTAGCTTCATCAATGAGCTACCACTGTCTTCTATTCAGCCTCAAAAAACAATAAAAAAAATAACTCAACTCATCTTCCTTAGCTGGGATCAAATCCCACTTTTTTTCCCCAAATGGTGGAATGTTGTGGATGGGCAATCATATTATTTAGGTAAAATATTAGTAGTAGAAGTTCATATCATGAAAGCAACACTATCTTTCCATAAAATAGACAAATAACATTTGATTGATCAGCTCTTACCAGCTCTTACTTTTTGATGTGGTTTCACCACATGCAGTAAATCAATTTCAGCGATGAAGAGAGAAGAGAGAGAGGTTTAAAGCTCATTGCTAGGCTGGCTGACTGAATATTACCCACATTTAATAAATGGCTGCACAATCCAGTATATGCATCTTTGTGATTGTTGTCCTACTTAATAAACATATCATATTATCAAATGACATATCAGAATATTCATGTTATCTGAGGGCATAAGTGTGGGCTGTTTGAGATTCAGAGCATCAACTCTGAGAGACACAAAAAAAAAGAAGTTCTACTTTTCAAGAGATGAAGTATTTTTATTCAAGGTCAGTCTTTAGATCAGTGCTTTTCTCTCCAGAAAAAAACCCTCAGCAGCATGATTTCCACTTATGCAGCTGGACAGACGGAACGTTTAAGCTTTAATTTCAGCTCTGAGCTTTGGATTTAAATTAGCTCCTTGTTACATGTAAGGTCTGATGATGTTTTCAGGATGCCAGTATCTCCTGGAATTGCCCGATGGTTCCAAACCCTAAATAAGACTCTTTGATCTCTGACTGCTTTACAATCTGTCCGTCCTGACTCACCATAACCCAGAGTGTGACTCAAAGACCAAATACCTTTAGATTTCATCTGTCGCATAAGATGGACAGAAAGTCAATACTCTAAGAGACAGACCCTTGACTCTATCAAGACATGTCACCAACCCTCACAGCTCTGGCATGTTGATTTTCTTAACCTCCCTCCTCCAACATTTCATGGACTGACAGGCAGTGTAATTCCGCCACACTACATCCCCATCAGCTGAAATATCTGCAATATACTGCCTAGATTAAATGTTGTGTTGATTTTAAAGGGAACAGGTCGTGGTGGTAAATTTAGATTTCTTAGCAACAAATTCACCTCTTATGAGACAATGTAACCTGAATCTCGTAGGCATTTAGTGATTTGCTTTGTAGGTTTATTAATTCAGTAGAGCTAAATGGTTGCACTATAAAGGAAGTGCATTGAGAAAAGTAACATTTTAAGAGATCACTTAAAGGGGGACTCTGGCAGTTTTACACATCAGGTTCAGTTTACTTGAGCAAAATATAAATAACCCAGATTATGTCATAGTGATGTCACCAGGGTAATCTTGGTTTGGGCTTGGGACATTTTGCAACAGAATGTCTTAAGTTTTAAAACTACAGGTCTAAAAGATGCAGGCATTTGGGAGGCAGTGGGTCTAATGAAAGATGTTCTTGAGTTGCATAATTGGAATTGTAGTGTTTTTGCAGATTGACCCTAACCCCAAAAGTCAGGGTATCTCATCATGTGCTGCTTCGCTTTTGATCTCTGTTTAATTAGTGTGTTTTAATCCTGCAAGTTCATGGACATGTGCAATACTAAATGGCTGGAGTACCCCTTTAAATGCCAAAAATAAATACTGAATGACACACCGTTAATTACTGAGTTTTCCTTCCAGCCTAGCTGTTATTTTATCAAAGCAGATGTCACTTTCCCCTGTAACAATATCTCATTTTGGTAATAATCCACTCAGTCATAGGACAGCCAAAATTACAAACACTTGAATGTACAACCCTTTTTTTTACCCATAATTCCTCCTTCAAGGTCAAAGAGCAAAGGATAAAGCCTGTAGTTGGACCAATCGACTCCAGAGCCTGAGGTCTGCAGCCACCTCTGCATACAATTAGAATGAAACAAATGAACTGGGATCATTCTGATTTTATGCGTCTCTGCATAATTTATCCAGTATTTGTATGCTACAGACTTATACAGTGGTCATTTGCATCACTTTTCTCTCCACAAGGAGAGGTCTACATGAGCTAATGTTGGCAAGCTGGCACCAAAGTTTGGCCTAAAATATGGTGCATGTTTGAAGTGATGTTCAAAAAGTCCTCTCTCTGCCTCACTCGGTTTGATTTTGCTCTTTCTTTAATAGTTGGGAGTAATGAAACAGCACAGGGAGGAAAGAAAGAACAGACAAGGAGCAATCAACAAAATGCTATACTTGCAAACAGCGTGCAATACCTGCAGGCATATCATCTTTATCAAACTGCAAAATTCAAACATAAACAAGAGAAAAACAGAAGAACAAATAGAGAAGAGAGGACTCTCTGAACTATGTTGAACGGGTCTTATTTGATCCATCCAGGTGTGAGAAGGCAAAGAGCTACAGCCAGGCCAGCCAACTCAGTATGTCGAGATGTAATAACTATATGTTTCCCGTGTACCCGTGTGTGTGTACCAGGCCTAGCTCAGATTGCTATCTGAGATTGATTCAGTAACTTTTCTGTGTTTTATTGATTGCGTCCGGCACAATGGATTGAATCAGGTTGTCCCTGCAGACGCTCGAGGTCCAGACAGATGAAAGCAATCACTCAGAGAGAGTATCTGGAACGATTTCAACTCATGATTCGATCCAGGCCTGGTGTGTATAGAAATAGTTGGAGCCATTTATTGACAGAGTTTCGCTTTAATACATTTAAAGAGGGCCGATTTGGGCTTCTTTCCCAGTTTTCTGTTGGAACTATTTATTTGCCAGGAGTAGTGAATTCCAACATAAAAGCGTCTGTAAAACCTTAACTTGTCATTTTTACACTTTGATTTTCCTACAAATTAAACAAACAAGATATAACATGTTTATTATTAAGCTTTAACGGGGCTGGTAGGTAGTTTTCGTTTAACTTTTGGTCAGAGCCAGACTAGCTGTTTCCCGCTCTTCCTTGTCTTTATGCTATTCTAAGCTAACCAACTGTTTACATGTTTAGTGCACAGACATGAAAGTGGTATCAATCTTCTCATCAAACTCGCAGCAAGAAAGCAAAGTGTATTTCCCAAAACATCAATCTATTCCAATAAATAATTTTTATCTTTCTTCAGTGAGAAATATAGCAAAATTGATAACAGCAGTAAGTTGCAACACTTAACCACAACACAAGTCATGTAATGCATTAATGCAGGTGGTGGGGGTGTCACATACATAAGATGCTTGCCTGGGTTCGATTCTCACTGTGAGACATCTACCATTGTGTCCCTGAGCAAGACACTTAACCCCTAGCTGCTCCAGACATGTATAGCAATTGTGAGTCGCTTTGGACAAAAGCGTCAGTAAATGAATAAATGTACAATGTCCATTAATCATTCATAGCAATGTCAAGGAACGTAAGAGAGCTCACAGATGGATTTTTCTTTAAAAGAGATCCAGTAGGGAGGGCTGGTACAGTGCTACCTCTCCATTAAAGATGTTTTTTTTTAAGAACAGAACCCACAAGATCTTACAGTTTTCAAATGTAAAAATACCTCAAGTCAGTAGGCACAGCAAGCAAAGATTTTCAAACCGACTGGCGGACCCTAAAGACAGTTTTTGTCCAAACCCTCACCTATCTTCCCGAACATGTAACTCTGTCACTAAACGACTCTGAGAATAGCCAGAGCTGCAGGTTGTTCAAGAGTTTGGCAAACCCACCTTCTCCAGTGCACCTTCCCTGCATTAAAGCTGACACTGCAGATCAGTTGTCAGGTTTGTCTCACACTTGTATGACCCTGCGCTCGCGGATTAGCTAACTTTCTTCTTCTGTTATGCAGTGGCTGTTTTTTTATACCATTTAAATTGTAAATGTTTGTCTATGACACATCTTAAGTTTATACAATGACTCTGCCATCATCCACACAATGTATATTTTCTTTATTTCTGTGTGATGCTGCTATTTATTTATTAAAATATTATTCTAATGTGTGGGCCATTGCCTTATTTGTACATTAACCACATGGTTGTTTTTTACTTTATTCCTTGTCTTGCTCAAGTGTCCAGTAGACCAGACTCGCCTTTGAATCCTCTTCTGAGCTTCCTAACATAAACAAGTTATGGAACAGTGTCAAGGAATGCCTGAGGTAGCTGAGGGGAAGTGAGACGATGACTGCTTTTAAATTGTGTTCAGC